TGGGTTTAGGGGTAGGGTTGGTGTAGGGCAATAGAGAATACGGTTTGTACAGTATAAAAAACCTGTGTGTGTGTGTGAGAGAGAGAGAGAGACAGCGTCACATCACAGTAGAGTCAGCTGTCTTAACCATGGCTTGTGTACCGCATCATTACTGTGTCTGTCACACGACTCTGTTCCACTTTCTGGCTTGAACTGATGGTAAAACTAATGACATTATTTACTGTCTTTACATTTATTTTGAAAGCTGAAGCTCGCGATTATGGTAAAGAGTGTTACATTTCCGACTAGTGCTTGCGGTGTTCGGCCAATCACAATGCACTGGGTCAGCTGGCCAATCAGAGCAGACTGCGCTTGTCGGAAGGAGGGGGCTTTGTTGAAAACGAAGTGTTTGAGAGAGGCGGGGCATAGAGGACCTACAATAATGTACAGTATTTGAAAAATGATGTGTTTTTTGAACATTAAAGCATGTCAACATATTCTGTTACACCAAATACACAAAATAATGATCTTTAAAAAAGCATCATATGACCCCTTTAATAGTTAGGTCTGGAAGATCAATTATCAATGTTTTTATTCATTATTTTCTGTTGCGTCAAAATGTTTTAAAGATATTCTATATGATCATTTTTCTCAGTTTAACCCACTGATGCCTATACAGCCAGACTCCCCTCATTTCCATAAGTCTCCTGGCTTGAAGGACAAGATTCACTGTGTGGTGTTTGTGATTGACATCAGCAGAGTCAAGCTTCTCTCTGACAAAATGATTGAGAAGTTTGTGGTTTTTCGAAAGAAAGCCAACCAGCTAAGTGTGTAACAATTTTGAACAGATTTTAATTAATTTCAAGTGACATGAGGGTATTATATCGTGTAAATGATGGAAATTCAATCTACAGTACACTTACTGTATATATAGGGGCAACCTCTCCACCAACCTGAGTTTAAAGAGATCAGAAAATTCTGTCCTCATTCACTCACCCACATGTTGTTCCAAATCTGTATGACTTTCTTGTGTTCTGTGGAACACACAATAAAAATATATTTTGAAGAATGCTGGTTACTAAACCAGTTTGGTTTTCATTGACTTCCATTATATGGACAAAACTACAATGGAAGTCAATAGGAATATAAACAATTTGGTGTTTAACATTTTTTCTAAATATCTTCTTTTGTGTTCAGCAGTTGAAAGAAATTAATACAGGTTTGGAACGACATAAGAGTAAGTAAATAATTACAGGATTTTGTGGTGGACTGTCCCTTTAAATCCCATGCTCAAGAGCACATCTTGTGGGGTTAAAGTGTACAACTAGCATGAGTCTTTAATCATTAGGGTTGCATCATCATAGGATAGTGGTCTCTGGGATGTGATAGCATATAAGGTGTTGTTCTGTACTTCAGGTATTCCTCAGCTGGTTCTGCTGACTAAGGTGGATGAGGCCTGCCCCTTAGTGGCAGAAGACCTGAAAAATGTCTACCAGAGCCACTATATCAACAAAATGGTATGAATTAATGTATATACATTTGTAGTAAGTATTCTGTAATGTTCAGTTTGTTTTACATATTGTCTTGGTGAATTATTTTGTGACAGATGCAGGAGGTTAGCTTTCAGCTTGGAGTTTCTCTTTCTGTTGTGGTCCCAGTGAAAAACTACTACCAAGAACTGGAAATAGACCCTCAAACAGACATTCTGCTTCTAAACGCTGTTGTTCAGATGCTCAGAGCTGCTGAGGGCTATTTTGATGATTTTTACAATCCAGAAGAGAGGTCTGAGTAAAAACCATTTTCCCTTTCTGACCAAAAGATTTTGAATATCAGTACACTCTTAAAAATAAAGGTGCTTCAAAGGGTTCTTCAAGCGATGCCATAGAAGAACCATTTTTGGTTCCACAAAGAACCATTCAGTCAAAGGTTCTTTAAAGAACCATCTCTTTCTTGCGTTTTTATAATCTGAAGAACCTACTTTCACCACAAAGAACCTTTTGCGAAACAGAAAGGTTCTTCAGATGTTAAAGGTTCTTTATGGAACCATTTAGACAAAAAGGTTCTTCTATGGCATCATGAAGCACCTTTATTTTTAAGAGTGTACACTGAACAAATTGGTGTAGAAACAATTTTCTGCCATTAACTTAACAAATAATGATAATTAAAAAAAACAGTAACACACTGAATTACAGTAAACATAACATTTTCAAGTAGAAACACTAAAATATAATTTTTTTGCACAACATACATAAAAATCATATCTCTTCGTTTACACATAATCACATTTGACAAGCTCATCTCTGTTCTCAGAATCAGAAGAACGCTTCTCTCTGTTAAGAAGCTTTACAAACTGTCTTTGTAAACTGTAAATTGTGCAGCTGTAATTGGTGTGGTTTATTAACAACTCTATCTTGTCTTATTAAATGCTGAGATGATAAGATTGTGCCTTCAGTCAGTGTATATTAAAAATAATTATGCTTATGTTGATTAAGTCTCTTCCTATGCTAATTCATTTTATCAGCAAGTGTGACTGTGATTATGTTCATTATGTTACTGTATAATCATTCAAAGCTAATAAAAATAGAGGCTATTTAGTGGAATTATTTAATATTTGAAAGTGCAGTTTGTGCCTGTGGCATTATATTTGCAGTCTAGTGACACAAGTAAGATAACTCGTTTTTTTTTTTTTTTTTTTTTTCAAAAATCATGTTTTTATTGTTAGTTAGCTGTATTTTTTTTGTTGTTGTTATTTTTACTTAATCAAAATAATCCAACTGCAATTTGATGCATAATGGGAAAAAAAACATGATTTTTGAAAATTGTTAAAAAATTTAGTTATTTGGTTTTGCAAATGAACTCTTCATATACATTATGGATCAAGTGCATTTTGTGAGGGGGAAAAATGTTAATTTTCATGACATTTAAGAACAGTTTCACCAAATTACAAAGGCAAAGGGACGGTCTTCTGTTGTTCCTGGCACATGTGATGTGAATTCATTTCTGATATACCGGTAGTTAGGCATCCTCTCTGAAATGTTTTAATGTACACAGCATTCCCCAGTGGTGGTGTGACAAACCTTTACTCTTCCATTGACTACATCCACAAGTCTAACAAAGATAAAACATATGTGAATCTGAAAAATATAAAGAATACTAAATGTTGACTTTATTTATTGATATTTTTTCATACATGAGGAAAGATCTGAGAATATAGTTATAGTGATACTCTAATAATGTAATAAAGCAATTACTAAATCAATACATGTACATACTGAAAAACTAAACAGTAGAAATGCTAACCAGCTGGAAAATGTATTGTTAAATGTGAATTTGAATGTAACGTTCCTCTGTGTGGATACTATTTGTTTTTTCTGACATCTCATTTTATGACTATAGAGTCAGTCAGGTTCTTGTACGGTGTGTTGAGTGTTTCCTGTCACTGTGGGTCTCAGAGCACAGTAATACAGAGCAGAGTCTGATACAGCAGCAGAAGAGATGATCAGATCCACACTGTTATCTTCTTTTCTGGGACTGATGGATATTCCAGAAACTGGAGGATTAGCACAAGTAGTTGATCCATAGGAATCCAGGATGAGGAACTGTGGTGGTGAACCTGCATATTGCAGATACCAGTGAAGACTCTTGACAGAACCAGTGTAGTTACAAGAGAGTTTCACAGTCTCAGTCTCGGTGGCAAATGCTGCATCACTGTATGGGGTGATGACATCTTTAGCTCTGTTACCTACTGTTACCTAAAGCTTATTTAAGCATGTTTAAAATGAGATATGGTGAAGTAATGATACATGTAAGAATTTACCTTGAGTTAAAGTCAGCAGTATAAGCACACAAGTGAACATGATGGTAGTGTCTGCTTTCATCAGTGATCTGTGATGCTGATTATCACTGAACTAATCTGTTTCAC